AGGAACTCCATGGACAGAGGAGGAACACAGAATGTTTTTGTTAGGTTTACAGAAGCTTGGAAAAGGCGATTGGAGAGGTATCTCTAGAAACTATGTGACTACAAGGACACCAACACAAGTTGCTAGTCATGCTCAGAAGTACTTCATTAGACAATCCAATGTGTCTCGTCGCAAAAGACGTTCTAGTCTCTTTGATATGGTTCCTGATGAGGTTAGTCCGAAACAACTGTTTGATCGGTCGTGAGCACATTTTTCATATTAGGAGTGGTTAGAGATACTATGGTCCGTTTGATTGGTGACTTTGGCTTGCCTTCTACATTTCGATATGAAATGAGAATTACTGGCAAAAAGTTGGATTTTGTTTTTGGTTCTAATGGAATATGCTTGAGGATACCATTTTGCACCCAACCCTGGTTAAGCAATTGAATAGAGATAGGGCTTGTTTAAAGGTTTTAAAGCATGAAACTTTAACCCCTTTTGGTTTCAGAAGAACAAGATGGTTTCTCATGGGGATTTCATCTTGAAATGTAATCCTTTTTCTTTATTTTCCTTACGCTGCAATTTTGTCCTTGTAGGTCGGAGATATTCCGATGGATTTGGAAGAACCAGAAGCAGAGAACATTCCTGTGGAAAAAGAAATGCAAAGCGCTGACTCTGTTCATCAGACCCTTGCTCATGGCTCACTTCAAGCACCGTCGATCTTGGAAATCGAAGAATGTGAATCCATGGACTCCACAAACTCTACTACTGGGGAACCAACCGCAACCGCTGCTGCTTCTTCTTCTTCCGTACTAGAACAAACTGCCCAACTGCAATCACAACCGCAACCGCAACTACCTGGCTCATACCCAATACTATATCCGGCCTACTTCTCACCATATTACCCGTTTCCATTCCCTATATGGCCTGCTGGTTATGCTCCTGAACCAACGAAGAAAGAGGAAACTCATGAGATTCTCAGACCAACGGCTGTGCACTCGAAAGCTCCTATCAATGTTGACGAGCTTCTCGGTATGTCTAAGCTCAGCCTTGCAGAGTCCAACAAGAATGGAGAATCCGATCAGTCTCTTTCGCTGAAGCTCGGTGGAGGTTTGTCATCAAGACAATCAGCATTCCACCCAAACCCTAGCTCTGATAGTTCAGATGCCAACAGCGTGATACAAGCGGTCTAAGGATTTGCGGAAGTGACTGTCTAAAATGGCAATTTGCAGGCAGATCTCTTAGCTATGGTTTCTGGTTTACAGGTTAGTTCTTGGTCACAGTAACTTAAATAAGATTTGCTTTGTTAGCTTGTTTAACTTTTTAGGATGATGTTCTAGTTCAGCTTTGATCATTAGGGAGG